GTTTAATTAAAATTAAGAAAATTTAAAATTTAAAATGCGATTAAAGTGCATAATTATATTTCCAAAAATAGAAATGACAAACGAAGGAAAATAAAAAATATGGACAAATTATGTGGACGAAAGGAGTACAAAATATATATATATAACAATAAAAATTAATAAAAATATAAGAAAATAGTTTGTTTGCTTAGCATTTTGATTTGCATTATATATATATATATATATTTTAATATAAATGATATATTATCTTTTATTATACTGTGTCGTTAATACTATGCTAAATTTTAAAATTCAACATAGCAATTGCAATTCTTAAATTAACACAACATGGTGTGATCATGTGATGCGTGAATTATTATTATTTGTTGGTTCATACTTCAGACGTATTCTATATTAACATATATATTACTCCCTCCACCTCATAACAAAGTATCCATTTTTTTCTTTTTTTTAATAACTGTACTATCTACCTAATATTACAAATACCCTTACAACTTACACATACTAATAAGGTTATTTTAGTCATTTCTATTTTATTCATACTATATCCCAATATAATACTAATATTTATAAAACTACGTGCAAAAAGCAAATGAATATTTAATTCCGGGACGGAGGGAGTATATTGAAATAAATCGTGACACGTAATTTGTAGATTATTACTTGATATTGTCGATCAATATATTGTATTTATGTTATATTAGCATTCACTTTGTATTGTGGTTTGTACTTTATATATTATCAATTTATATATCAAGAAATAATAACCCTTAGGTGTGCTTGTTCGGGGTTTGGATTTTGAGTTGAAATTTGAATAGTAAAAAATTTGAATTGTAATAATTGTACAATGTGATATAAATATGTGTTTATGTGATATTTTAAATGTAAAATTAATTTTTAATATAATATAAAAAAATAACTGTTTGATTTAATATTTTTAAGGAGAAAAAAATTAATGAATAGTAAAATTTGAAAGATTCTCCCGAAAGAACACACTTGTAAACCTAAACCAGTATAGTTTGATAAGATATTAATAAAATAATTAATTTATTTTATTGAAAATTATTAAAAACTCAAACCAAACACGGCACATACTATAATTGAAAATTTTGTACACATGTTATATGACATGTAGCATTTAAGTACAAAACAACCATGGCTCATAATTATTCTTAAATTAAAACCTAAACTAGTTGAAAAAGTAAAATTGACAATTCAAATATAAAATTAATCAATTCGACTATCAGATCCAAATTAAATGCTTTTCTTGTTACTCCCCTATCCACTCGAAAGATTTTTTTTTAAAAAAAAAAAAAAAAAAAAAAAATGAAGAAGAAGAAACTTCTAACCACTTATTTATTTTCAAATAAAAGATCTTGAAATTTGAAAATAACAAAAATTGGGTATATTTTTGTAAAAGAAAATAAATATTTATGTGATTTTTGTTTTTTTTTGAAAAAAAGACATATTATTAATAAATAATGTTACTATTTTCAAAAATAGGTATATAATGATAATCTAAATATATAGGAGTAATTTTTAAATATACAGTCTCGCCTTCTCGAAACAATAGGAACATTTGATATGAACATGAGAATTAAAAAATAATAGTATTATATTAACAATGACTGTAAAAATATTTTTAAAAAACTAAAATATTCATACTTTATATAATTATTATTAAAAAGTGGGATAATTTTGTAAAATAATAGAAAAATAGTTACCAAAAATACAAATAAGACTATTGTTTTTTAGACGGACAAAAACGATAAAATAAGACTATTATTTTAGGACGAAAGAAGTAATATATACGAATTTATGCAAAATTAAGGGTGTGTTTCTCCAATTGGGGTTGTCCACCATTTCGCCGACATTGTGCAGGTATGCTGTTTTTTTTAAAAAAAAAAAAAATAATAAAATATTATTTAATATTTATTATAATTAAATGAAAAATATATATATACAATATATATATATATCATTTTGTAGAGAATAAATTTTTTTATAATACAAAAAAATAAATATTTAAATATATATATGTTGGGTATAATATAAATTTATAATCAAATCATACAATATAAATTTTATCAATTAAATTTAATACACATTTATATTATTTTATTTATTATCCATCAAATTAATACACATCAAAACTCCTCAAATCCCAACCAGACCCAAACACAAAAGAAACAGCAAAATTCAAATTCATCTCAAAATTCAAATAAAAATCAAATTCAAACTCAACTTTCCCCAAACTCCCAAAGAAAAAAAACATACTCTAAGGGGTGTGTTTGTTTGGGGTTTGGATTTTGAGTTGGGATTTGAATAGTAAAAATTTTGAATTTGAATAGTTGTATGATGTGATATAAATAGGGGTTGATGTGATGTTTTGAATGTAAAATTAATTTTTAGTATAATATAAAAAATGAAAAATAAGTGTTTGATTTGATGTTTTTGGGGGAAAAAAATTGGATGAATAGTAAGAATTTTGCAAAATCTTGCAAACGAACACACCCTAAATATTCTATTAAAAACATGAGATTAATTAATTATTTAAATTATAATGAAACAAAAAAAATAAATAAAAAAATTGCTATATATTATTCTGTTACGGCACGAAACTGGCCTCAATCAACTTTGAGTTACCCTTTTTATTCAATTATTATATTAATATGAATTATACCATTCCGGAATTGTGAAGGCGTGCTGCACTCTTAGGGTGTGTTTGTTTGAAGGATTTTGGTGGATTTCCACTGTTTATCCAATTTTTTTCCCCCAAAAAACATCAAATCAAACATCTATTTTTCATTTTTTATATTATACTAAAAATCAATTTTACATTCAAAACATCACATCAAACCCTATTTATATCACATCATACAGCTATTTAAATTCAAAATTTTTACTATTCAAATCCCAACTCAAAATCCAAACCCTCAAACAAACACACCCTTATATACTCATTTCCTCCCAAAATTAGCTGGACACAGAATTTAAGATATATTAATATTATATTGACAGTTGGTAAAAAATATATATAAAAGATATTTTTATCCTTGTGAGGGTATCATTGTAAAAAATAATGACAATTGTGTAATTAAAAAAAAACAGGGGTAGTTTTATGGTGATACGATTATTTATGGAAATAAAACTATTGTTTTGGAACGGACAAAAATGGTAAACAAGACTATTGTATTGGGACGGAGGGAGTATTATTTTTTATTATATACATCACAAATTTTAGTTTTTAAAAAAAAAAACAATTTTTATATAATGTTATATTAATATTATAGTATTTATTTTAAATAAAATTAATTAAGCAAAATACAAGAACACATGAGAACACATCCTCAATCATTTTAAACTTAAATAAATATAATTAGTAATTTTTATGAACTTATATAAAATAAAATTTGGAAAGCCATGGAAAAATAAAGGATCTGTTCACCCAGTTGTTTTTCTTAGATTAAATAATTATTTGTGTGGGTTACAGGCAATTCCATCAAAAATATAAAAGATCCTATTTACGAGGGTTACATTTACTTTTGGCTCGGTATTTAAGAAATAATAGTATTTTAATTATAATGAGTAGTTAAAAGTAATGTAATAACATTTTTGTCCTTATTTTTTTGTGTAAAAGTAATGATGTGATGTAAAATAAGGGTATTTGTGGAAAAAAGTATGGTATTTAATGAAATGTAAACTTTGTAATTGGACGTCCCAAAATAAAAATATGTAAACTTTGTAAGCAAACAGAGGGAGTATTATTTTGAACTAAATATTTGAACTTTCTTTTTTTCATTTATTTTTTTGTAATGATATATGATTTTTTTTTAAAGTTTTTTTTATATTTTTGTATAAAATAATTTATGTTTATTATTATTATTATATTTTGGAATTGTAATTCAAAAATGATGTTGGAAGATCGGAATAAAAATATACTTTTTTTTGGGATATTTATATTGTTTTTAGACATAATTGCTTGCGTGAACATTTTTTTTACTATCAACTAAATTTATAAATAATTTATTTATAATTATAAAAAATTATTAATATATAATTTTATTACCCATAAATAATCATTTTAGCTCTATTTTATTAACTTTCAAGTAAAAGTTTAATAATATTTTAATCTTACTTTTTACTTAGTCTACTCTGTATTAAATACTATTAAAAACTCATTTGAAAAAAATTCTGTACAATAAATTGTTCTCTTAATAATTATCTTTTAATTTTTGTATAGAATATATATCACTTTTTCGTCCCAAACAATATGTAATATTTCATTTGATATTTGTCAAATATCATGCAATATTCTAAAATAAAAAAATAATTAATTATACTTAATTTGTATTTCAAATTTTATCTTATCACATCATCAAAATAAAAATAAAATAAAATACTCCATTTGTCACTTAATAATTTATCTATTTTTCTATTTTGGTCACAATATTCATTTTTTTTTAATTGTACTATCTACTAACATTACAAATACATTTCAATTTACAATATATATTACACAAATATCATTACATTTATATCATATAATACTAACAAAAAATAGTTTAGTCTTTTTATTTTTATTTCTATTGCATTCCAATATAATACGAATATTTATAAAAATAAAAAAAAGGAAAAACTCGAAACTCACATTATTACTCCCTCCGTCTCAGTGTCTGCTACATTATAAATACGGTATTTTAGGAGAATGTAATTAGTAGATAATTAAAAATATATTAGCGAAAATAATTATCCTATAATATAAATAATTATAAATTAAGATTAAAATAACTAATTAATTTAATTAAAATTAAAAAAATAAATTAAAAAATTTAAAATAAAATTAAAGTGTATAATCAATTTTTTTTAAAAAAATAATATAAAATACGGACATAAACGACAGCGTGGATATGTTAAGCGAGACAAACGGCGGAGTATTTTATTAAATAAGATGGGATGATTCATGAGGTTCTTATTCCTCACCTAAGTTTTCCATAAACCGTTCAATAAAAGGGCGCTTAAACCAACGGCATCTTTCGGCGGTCGCAAAAGGCCACCCATAAAGCATATCCAAAGGCTTCCGTACTCTGCACAACGCCCAACTTGTTCGATGTTTAATGCTGAAGAATGCTAATCCGATCTTCCCCGTCCGAACAAACTTTCGTATAAATCCCTCCTGCTTTTCCTCCGCTTGGAATGCTTATTTCCTTTTCGCCATTAAACTCTGCTGCGAGTTGCTCGAGGTGGCTTTGCTTCTTGTGTTGTGACTGCTTGCATTTCGCTTCGGACGCGTTTTTGGTGCGTCGCTGGAGCTGAATTGATGAAGGTGAGTTTCGAGTTTTTCCTTTTTTTTCTTTTTTTTTTGTGTGTGTGTGTGTGTGAATCGCTTTCACGGCAAGTGATCTAGCTGGTTTTGTCTGTGTTGGATTTTAACTGCGATTTCGAATTGCTTTGGTTACAAGTTTCGGATTTTTTTAACTGGATGTGTTGGAAATATGAATGATTCTTATATATATATATATATATATTATATATAAAAAACTCCGATTCAATTGATATACTGATGTTGATCATCTTCGTGTTATGAACATTTGATCCAAAGGATTGAATTTGGATAGATTCAGCTTTCTGCACTCTTGGCAGCTAATTTCTGGTGGTTAGTTATGTGAATTGCGTAGATGGTTGTTGTATTTCACTTTTTAAATTCAAAATTGGGTGTTCGAATTTGAAGTTTTGGAATTTTTAGTTCCTGCAGCTTGGAAATACTGTGATTTTGTATTGAAAAATTTTAATTGGGTCCCTGTTTAGAGCTTATACATACACAAATATATGCATATATTGTTGTGGTATAGCATAAATATTAGTCACCAATCTCTGCAGAAACGAATCTAGGGCAGATTAACTCATTTGAATACATGCATCTAATGAAGAACAATTTGAAAATTTAATGTGTAGGTTTTTGTTATGACTCGGGAACTACCTGCCTTTTAAGTTATCTTTGATAATTGGATTTGAAAATTAGTTTCTTGCTGAGAGTTAAATCGTCTATACAAATTTTATTCATTCAGGTTTGATAAATTCATTGAAAAATTGTAGGCTTAATCAGATAATTAACAAAGAATATGTGAATTAATGGATAAATGAGGTAGTACTTATGCATTTGACTTCTCATACACAACATATTTTAAATGAAGAATCTTATTTCTCCAGGTACCCAAGCTTTGCATTTTTTTAATTTACTAGGCTTTAGTATTGTACATTAATTCCTTTTGGTTTGACTTGGATCGTCATGAAATTTTATGGCCACAAATGAACTTTTTACCGAATGAGAACAACTTGTATTACAGATGCTATATATATTTTGTCATGTTTTAAAACATGTGCTTTATTTAGGAGTTTTAGATAGGAAATGTGTTTGAATTCATCTAGAATAAATGTCTAGTCTATGAGCCGGCAGTTAAAGCAAATTATGCAAAAATACTTTTGTCAATTCATTATAGGTGCGAAATATTGATTTTATTCAGTTGCAAGAATTCTTCAACCATGTTTATATAGTTTCAGTGTAAATTCTGGATATTGGACATTTACACCGTGTTAAAAATTATTCAGAGTCATTAGACAAAATAACTATATGTTCAAAAGCTGAAAATGTTTTGCCTGCTGCATCTTTCTTGTGCTTATGCTATCTTAGAGTATTTTCTGTTATCGATAACTGATCTCTTTCCCGTCTGTCTGGGAACAGAACATGACAAGATCGTGATCGCCACTATATTATATGGATGAATTCTCGTCTTGGTCTTTAAGCACTCAATAGAAGACAAAATAATGCATCAACCAGAACCAGATGCTACTCTCTGGAGTTTCTTCAACATTGATAATATTTTTAGTAACAATTATTATGGAGATAGCACCCAACATGATGTGAAAATTAGCCATGAACAGTATACTAGAGATAACCATTATGAAACAGAATACGGCAACATTGAAAATGATGAGATTCTTGCTCATGCTCTTCAAGAAGAAATGTCACAGTTGTCAATAACAGAATCTCCGGAATTATCCCATTCTGGGGAGGAGTACTTACAGAGTTCAACTGCTGTACCAAATTGGCCTAACACAACTAATTATAATCTTGGTAAGTCTTCGTTTATCTTGATTCTTGCATGTTAGTCTTGTGAATATAACAACACAAATGGAACCCTGAAATTATTTATTCCCAGCCGAAGATGCCAAAATGCATGATACTGATGATGTGGGGAGTGTATGTTCGAGCCCTGAAGATAGATCATGCGATGGAGATGATTCCACTTATTCTTTGGACATCACCGAGGACCCTAACTATGATGATGAGTTTGAGAAGAGGTTGTACCAAATGATCCCTGTCCCGGTAAGTAATGGCTCTTTTACATCTTCCTAAATTTCTTGTTATTATGCGGCAGTCATTTTTACACCATGCGTAATTTCTTATGGACATTTGAAGCTCAGACTGCATATTTGAGATAAATTATCAGACTTCTCTTGATTTCCTTTTTTTGTTTTGATCCAAAAAAAAAAAAGAAAAGTCTGACCATATATAATATATTAATGATGGAACATTGCAAAGCAATGCCAATAATATACCCACATTAGCAATACTTCCATTGTGCATTTTATTTTGTATATGACTATAATGTATGCATTCAGATTCTTCATGTTGTACTTACAATCATATGGAAGTCGAATTATGGAATTTAATTTTCTTGGAAAGGAGAGTTTTTTCTTTATCAGCAATAAGATGCAATATATTACCTTATGCATCTAGAACTGAATTCATTCGAATTCTTGAGTTCTAAGTAATGTTATTTTTTATTGTGTCCTGGAACTCAATTTCTGATATTGTAGAAGTATTGTGCAGCATGTTCCAAAAATTAACGGAGACATACCTTCAGTTGACGAGGCAACTTCAGACCATCAAAGGCTACTAGATAGGTGCTTCTACTAAACTCTTGTTTATAAATACCCATCACTAGCTAAATTCTGGCTCCTATGGTGATTTGACTTCAGGTTACAGTTATACGACTTGATTGAGCACAAAGTCGAAGGAGATGGTAACTGTCAGGTCGGTAGCTTTTGAGATCGTTTAAATAGAAATTTTGAAAGTTTTGGAAAATTTTAGAAATAGTAAAAAAAGTTGGGCATTTCATTGTTATTTTGTGAGAGAAAAAAAAAGTATTTAACGTGCTGTTACTGTTGATAATTTGTTGGCTAATTATGAGTACATCTTTGTGAAATATCATACTATATATCCTTTAATGTGTATTGTGACAATTGGCATAAAATGGAAGAGACATAACTAATCAAGAATCCGATTCAGTAAATAATCGTTTACTACAAAGCGCCGTACTTCCAGCGATGATCTCTTTCTTTTCTGCAGTTCCGTGCTTTGTCCGATCAAATTTATCGAACCCCCGAACACCACAACTTTGTGAGACAGCAAGTTGTTCGCCAGGTGCTTGGCAAACTGTAAAGAAATGTTCTTCATGAGCACATTTTCTCTCCGTAACTTGCCAATTCATTTCAGCTGCATCGCTTAATCTGACATTTTCAGTGCTTTTTTTTTTTTTTCTTATGTTGTCAGCTCAAAGCCCACCCCGAAATATACGAGGGATATGTTCCAATGGACTACGCCAATTATCTACGAAGGATGTCCAAGTAAACCTCTTTCTCTCGATTATCTCCCATCACCATTCACAACATTAATCGTTTTTCAATACTCGAAACTTCTATAAATTGCTGACACATTTTATTTCATCCAGGAGCGGGGAATGGGGTGATCATGTCACATTGCAGGCTGCCGCGGATTTGGTATCGAATCGCCTAACCTTAATCATTCATATTACGTATTTATTTTTCTGTTCGAATTCCAACACCATCCTTGTCTCATTCAACAGTATGGTGTGAGAATACTTGTAATAACTTCATTCAAAGACACTTGCTACATCGAGATTCTCCCCAAAGACCAAAAGTCGAAAAGAGGTAATTCCCTCGACTTATTCGCATACAATTCTATTACACAAGATTTCGCCTGCTTATAATCTTCTTTCGTGCACAGATATATATTTGAGCTTCTGGGCTGAAGTACATTACAACTCAATTTATCCTCATGGAGGTATAGAACCATTACCCTTCATTCTTTGCTTATTACTTATAATCCGCATATCGTTTGAAAAGTTTGCAGCATGCCTTCTCATTATTTTAAAATTACGCAACTTTTTTTCATATTTTAAAAAATATTATACAAAATTCTCGAAGTTACAGTGCTCGAACTCTGGAATGTTTGTTTTTATAAAGTACGAGGAAAATGTTTCAGTTTTTCCTTCCAAATTTTAGAAAACATTGCACAAAATCCTCCAAGCTGTTAAAGACATTTAAGTAGGGATGGGCAAAAGAAATCGAACCGAACCGTTGAACCAAATTGAATTTTCGGTTAACCAAGCAAATTCAGTTCGAATACAGCATATTTGATATTTGTTCGGTTCGGTTTCGGTTTTTGATATTTTTTTTATATTTTGAAATTTATATAAATATTTATATTCGATTCGGTTTCAGTTCGGATATTTGAAATATTTTTATTTTTTAATATATTTTTTAAAATTTAGGTTCAGTTCGAATTAATTGCAAATATTTTTTGTTAATCAAATCCAAAATTTTCAATTCGGATACGATTCTCAGTTTCAGATATTTGTTTGGTTCGATACGAATATCAGATACCTAGATAGTTACAAATACTTAGAACCGTGCCCACCCACCCCTACATGCGTATATTTAAAGAGATTTTGTGAAATGCTTTTTAAAATAAAGAAAGTTGCATAGTTTTTAAATTACGAGGCAGAGAATGATGCAGATTTTTCAAATAATACTGTAGATTATAAGAAATTTTGACGGATAATAATATAGAGATTTCGAGTATTAATTGAACTTTGGGTGGATCAGAACCCCCAGGAGGTGATTTGAAGAGGAAGAAGAGATGGTGGAACTTTAGAAACAAGTAATTACTATTATTAGTTAACCATTTGAATAATCATATATATATATATATTATGGGATTTTTACACACACTGCTGCACTGTGGCTATTTTAGCTGTACAGCTCACCAGTTTGTATTATTCCATTTTTTACTTAATGCAGCTACAGGATTATTAATATATTCATTCATTATACACAATTTTACATTCTTTCCTACATTTGTCGTACAATATATACATGTACATGGTCTTAGATATATATATATATATATTTAGGATGAATAATATTATTTTATTCAATTTAATCTCGTATTTATTTTAATGTAATCGAGCACTATAAAATTTATAAAATTTTTGTTTAATATTCCCTTCGTCCATTTACAATGTTTACATTTACTTTTGGCGCGGTGTTTAAAAAATAATGAGTAGTTAAAAGTAGTGTAATGATATTTTTGTTCTTACTTTTTTTTGTGTAAAAGTAACGATGTGATGTAAAGTAAGAGTATTTGTGGAAAAAAATAGGGTATTTAATGAAATGTTAACTTTGTAATTGGACTTTCCAAAATAGAAATATGTAAGTATTGTAAATGGACGAAGGGAGTACATTTTTATTTAATTTGAAATGTATTTTTTTGAAGAAAACACAATAAAATATGAAATGATGTAAAAAATATTGCTAAAACTTAATTTATAATTTTAAAATATAAAATTATATTTATAATAAGATTGTAAAGAGTAATTTGTTTAGAAAAAAAGGTAATAATATAATATAATCAAACAAAGCAAAACATAGTACTCCCCTGATCTCAAACAACGTGCAACATTTGTGTTTGGCACGAGAATTTAGGTGGGAAGTAATAAGTATGATAATTTAAAATAATTTGGATATTAAGTGATATGATTGGAGAGAGAAATGATTATTTGTTTTTTTTTTTATTTGAGTGATGCGATGGGATAAAGTAAAGTATATATTAATATATATATAAAAATATTATTAATTATTTTTAAATTTGAAAATGTTGCAGTGAGTTTGGGACAAATAAAAAAGGAAATATTGCAGAGTGTTTGAGACGGAGGGAGTATAAGTTTATCTAATATTATAATTTAGTTATTATAATTCAATTCTTCAAAATACACACCTATTAAGTTACTCTTACTTCCTTATTCCGCAAAAGTATATATTTACTTTTTGCATGATGAATAAAAAAAATAATAGGTAGTTTGTGGTATTTTTGTGTGTAAAGATTATTTTTGCCCTCACATTTTAATATGATGTAATGATATTATGTAAATAAATGTATTATGATTATATTTACTTTAATTTTTTTTTTTTTTTTTTTTTATAATTATCATGTGACAAACGAAAAATATATATATATATATACACATTGTTGAGGGAGTATTGTTATGAAATGATACACCTAAGGGCATATTTTGTTTTGATTTTATATATTTATATATTTTTATGTAAAATATAAAAAATTATGTTTGAAAATGTAAAAAATATATATGTATATTGAGAATAGTATCCTGTAGAAAAAATAGTTTATTCAAAGCCCAATCTGAAGCCCATTTACGTGGCGACCTACTTGATTTCTAGTTTGCTATCTGGCCCGACCCGGCCCGTTAGAGGGTCAAGAAATTTATGTGGTGTTATGAATACTCTACAATCGTAATACTGTAGTTCTCCAGGGGCAATTTCAGTCATTGCCAGTCCATGGCGAAAAATATGCAGACAAGAAAACATCAAATACAAAGTTGCAGATCAAATCCAAAGCCGACACGGAGACCGAAGCTCTTCAAAAGGCGGAAAAGGCAAACCAAAGATCAGAGTCGCGGATCATCCAAAGAGGACATCAAATCCAAAGCCGATGATCAAATCGCCTACATGGAGACCAAAGCCCTCCGAACGACGGAATTTGATCTTTGAGGGAGAGATTTGGTGCTCCATAACGCTTTTTGCGGCGTGTCCCTTTGACTTTTGGATCGAAGAGGGCCTGGTTTGCGCCTTTTATGAAGAACGCGACGAACATCTTCAAGCTTTGGGAGCGACTTTGGAGGCTCTTCCTTGGCTTCGATGGATTCCTCGATAGCTTTGAGAGATTTGATCCTTTCCCCGGCTCGGACATACGACGAAGAACGTTAACTTCATCGATTCGTCAACCAATATTGGATCATTTGTCCAAATCGGTGACTTTTCGACGAAGAACGCTTCGAAGGACACGAAGAACAATGAAGAACATTGCAGAGAGTCTAGAGAGACTTACCCTTGCGCGAGTCTTCAAATGAACTTCGGTGTCTAAATGAATTGGCCAAGGCTCCTATTTATAGGGGAGGATGGCATTGGCTTCCTTTTCGGATGGTGCTACGTGGATGGAAAGATTTTATAATCTTTCCTTTTCCCTCGGATGCCGTTTTCCATTTTTGACGGATTTGATTATGCACCTTCCTTTCTCGTCAAAATCTTTATATCATTGCCTTTTTTGGAAGATATTAATTTATATACTTCCTTTATTGACAAGATCTTTATATCATTGCCTTGTTTGGAAGATATTAATTTATATACTTCCTTTATTGACAAGATTAATTTATTTTGCTGCCAAATTTATTATGGCTCTATTTATGCACGTAATATTTGTACGATATCTTCCATTTTAAGCAGATTTTGCACTAATGGTTGATATTTATTGTACAAAAATTAACATATGTGCATAATTAAATACCATATATTTATTTTATTGGAATTTTATTTTCTTCCAAAATACATGATATTTAATTGATTTTAGACATATATTTTTAGTGTCTACAATGCAGACAAGAAAAACCTCATCCATTTGAACGGTGGGTTTATCCGCTCTCTGGAGCCTGCAATTTGCGCAAGTCTCTCATCTTAGCTTTAATTTTGAACAAATTTGCTTTATCTAGCGTCTGGGAAAAAAGGAATTTAGTTTTTGGTCTGGTTAGGTCTTCGTTTTTGTTTATTTGATTTTGCGCGGCACAATCATTCGCGGAGAGTGGTGCAATGGAGTTCGGAAGGAGCTTGGTTTCTTCTCCAACGCAATTATCATTCCGAGCTACTCATTTTAGAAACTGTTCGGCCTCTTCTAATTCAGGTATCCTCACTCAGTTCCGCGTGCTGTTTGTGTAGATTTTGTGTAGTTATGCAAAGTATTAGTGTAGTGTGATAATGGAATTACATTTTTTTAGATAAGCGTGATGCAGTTTGAGTTCCTTGATCGATTTATTAATGTTCATCACTTGAGTTGAATTTGTATGACTGCATAATGGAAAGTGTGTCGGTGAATTTAGGGGGAAAAAAACAGCTATAGAGGATCAAAATGAACAAATTGGATAATTTGATGGGATATAGAATCAAACTGAACAAATTGGATAATCAAAGGGATCATGTGACGAATGCATTTCAAAAGTTATAATGGTTCGTTCCTCTTTGTTGACATGAATTTAGCTTTGGGATAATCCTAACTAAGCATTATAGTTCTAATTGAATATCACCACTAAAACCGATATTTTCACTTTCTTGCTTGTATATTCTGAGGCCAATTCTACAGGATTGATATTGTTTCGATTTATGGTAGCATTTACTCAACATTTTTTTTTTAAAACTCTTATTATAGTTCAACACAATACTCCTTTGGTCTCGAATAAATTCCGATCACACTAAATTAATAAGGTGCAATTTGAAAGTTACTGAGATTGGCGGCACTAGTGATAAATGTTAGCTGAGGTATCTTATTGTTTTAGGATCTATGTAGACTGAAACACAAGTATTTTGATTTTATCATCTTCTTTGAAGTATGAAAATGATTCGAATGTCAAAACTGACCAGGCCGCTTATATCCTCATTTATTGTTATTTCGGGTCTAAATAGTATTACAATTGTATCTGCAAAATTTGCAGTTCTGCTGCTTCATGAGCAAGTGACTCCTGTTGTTACGTCTTTGTCGACTATTTCTTTTGCTGGATGCTCGCCCACTTCTGTTCTTGCTCAGGAACAACGGAATGATAGTAGGCAGCTTTTATGCTTAAAGGATGACACCACATCTCAGGTGAATCTTTGATATCAAATACTATCCTGTTGATTCATGAAATCCTCAAAGATTAGTAAGAAATTGTCTTCCCTTTTTTGTTGTTTGATCCATCCAACTATTTTGAATTTCGGGTCTTCTTGTTGACAAGTTCCTTTTGTTTGTTTCCAGTTAAAGCAAGCAAGCCAGGTTGTAGTGGCACCTAATCATTCAACTGATGAAAGGGATGACAATGTCGATCCTGATCTAAATGATTTTCGGCTTCAGTTGCTACGCAGGCCAGAGTTATGGTATTTGTAAGAGTACTCAAACTATGATACCTCTTTTTCTTTTTTTCGCAACATTACTATTTTTTCTACGAATTTTTGTCTCTTGCAATATCTGCATTTGAATTGCTTCCTTTCGGGCCCTTGATTACATTTTGATATGTTTCAGATGGTTGTCATTCCAGAGAAAGGAACAGTACTTTCCTAACGAAACAAAGTTCAACCAAACACTCGATACCGTAGACACGGAACATGTTATTGCCCTTGCAAAAGAAGCTTTTGCTGCAAGCAAGGAGGCAGCAACAATCGCAAAAGATGCTAAATTATTTGAATCGTATGTTGATAATTCATCCATCATTATAATGATTCGATTCTAAATCTCTCTACTAAGTTGTTGATCAATTCTTTCTTCCTGTCGGCTTTTTAGAGGTTTGACATGGGCCAATATGCAAAGAACTGTGAGGTCAACGCGTCTTCTAGAAAGGCAAGCGAAGAGAAGGAGGGTGCCCAAACATAACGTCGAGGTTCAGGAGACTCACCATAGTAGGAAGGTGGAACAACTTAGAAAATCGAGTGAAGAATTTGATCCCAATGACCCTCTTCGATTATTCTTGTCAGGACCAGAAACAACACAACTTTTGACTGCAAAAGAGGAGTCGGAGTTAATAGCAAAGATACAGGTTTCTTGCATTCCCATGTCCTTTACAGTAGTTGCCATTTCTTTTCGGATATCATTGTTTGAATCTGATCATTACTACGTAAATTAGGATTTGAAGAAACTACAAGAAGTTCGAATGCAACTTCAATCGCAATTTTCGCGTGAACCCACTCTACTTGAGTGGTCTGCTGCAGTCGGGCTTAGTTGCCAAGCCTTGCAGTCCGAGCTTCGCTCCGGGAATCGCAGTCGGGAGAAGTTAATTTATGCTAATTTCCGTTTGGTTGTTCATATCGCGAAGCAGTACCAAGGGCGCGGTCTGAATCTTCAGGATCTTATGCAGGTAAGTCGTTTTTCTATGCGAATGGATCGATTATAACACACAAAACCGAGTCGTTAATGATCACAACATCATTACGTATGTCGTAGGAAGGAAGCATGGGTCTGATGAGGAGCGTCGAGAAGTTTAAGCCGCAAGCCGGTTGCAGATTCGCCACTTACGCCTACTGGTGGATAAGGCAGTCGATTCGGAAATCTCTGTTTCTACATTCTAGAACCATCCGTTTACCGGTAATGCCCAATCGCCGAAATTTCAACAATTTAGAATCAAATCGAAACTTTTTCATCGATATAATCTTATCGCTTGTCTTGAACTGTTTCAGGAAAATGTGTACGCCCTCCTGTCGAAGGTTTACGAAGCGAAAAAGTTATGCTTTCAGCAAGGTAATCACAATCCGACAAAAGAAGACATAGCAAGAAACGCCGGAATATCCGTGGTGCGACTAGAAGAATTGCTATATACATCTAGAACTCCTCAATCGATACAACAGCCCGTCTGGACCGATCAAGATACTACATTACAGGTAAAATCCGCAGCGTATTTCTTGAAAAATTGAAGTTCTGCAAAATCATCGATCGAGCTAATAGATAATGATGGAAGTACGTAATTTTTATGTTACAGGAGATAACCGCCGACACCGCAATCGAATCCCCCGACGTTTGCATTGCGAAGCAGCTTATGCGAAAACACGTCCGCGGTCTCCTCAACGTTCTCAGTCCTCGCGAGAGGAAAATCATACGGCTGAGATTTGGCATCGAAGACGGTAAGCAGCGATCGCTGTCTGAAATCGGCGATTGTTTTGGATTGTCGAAGGAAAGGGTTCGACAACTCGAGAGTCGAGCAATGTACCGGCTGAAACAGTGCCTCAATAGCCACGGCCTCGCAGCCTACGCGGAGATGATCGTATAAAACGGCGACGGTAATGTAATGTACATATAAAACTGCTATGTATAACATTATTTATATATCGAGATTACGTTCCCGATCCGTGGAGGCTGCCGACGAGCGTCGAGTAAACGGTGTCGTCAGGCGCGAGGCCAACGCGTATCATCTCGTCGTAAAATTCGAAAGCTTCGCTCGATCGACCTTCTTTCGATAATCCCGATATCAACGCCGTGTAAGTCACGGGACTTGGATTTACGCCCGTTTCTTTCATCGATATAAATAGCTTAATCGCCTCGTCTACCTCCCCGAGCATACATTTCCCGTGTATTAGCGACGTGTAAGTATACACGTCGGGAAACAATCCCTTTGCTTCCACTTCCCGTCTTAACGAATGCGCGTCTTCGATCTTACCCTTCTTGACGTATCCGTCAATTAAAGCATTATACGTCACGAGATTCGGTTTCACTCCCTTCGTCTCCATCTCGATCATAATTTTCTTCGCTTCACGAAAATTACCTTCCTTACTATATATATCGACCAGAGCTGTATATGTCGCTATATTTAATATCGTGCTCTTATCCACCATCGAAAGTAGCAACCCTTTCGCTTCCTCGTTACGACCCAATCGAGATAAACAACTCGCAACTATACTATTCGAGTAAACGTCGGATTCGAACCCCTTATTCTCCATAATACGTCGCACCCTCCACGCCTCGTCGATCATCCCTTTCTTGCAATATCCGTCGATCAACGTATTGAAAACCACCCGATTTAATTCAATCCCTTCGCGTTGCATCTCCTCGATCAAGATTTCCGCGGCCTCCATGTTCCCCACGCGACAAACGCCGTGTATCAACGAACCGTATGTATGCGTGCTCGGCCGCAAGCCCTTCTCGACCAACTCGTCGAACAACGCAAACGCCGTCTTAACGTCGCCCGACCGACTACACAAACTAATCATCAATGTATATACATGAACATCTTTAGCTACATCCTTCTCGGACATTTCGTCGAACAGTTTCCGAGCATCTTCCATCCTCCCGCTCCTCCCCCGCCATCCGATCAAAAGCGTATATGTCGCAGCATTGAATCGCACGCCAGATTCCGCCATAGCTGCCAGGACCTCGTCGACTCCGGTGAGGTCCGATTTCTCGACGTAAGCTTCGAGCAATGTGTTGAATGTGTACACATTTGGCTTTACTCCTTTCCCTACCAAATCATCCATCAATTCCCTTGCTCTCTTAATTTCATTCCTTTTACACAATCCACCAATCACCATTGTCATCGAATACACTGTAATCCTCACATTGCAATCCATCATTCTTATGAAAAATCGATACATCGATTCGAATTCGTCGCGTTTTTTGAAAGCGATCAGGTAAACCATACATGACCGTTCGTCGATTTTGAATCCATTCTTCGCCATATGCTCGAACACCTCCAAACCCTCGTCGAACTTTCCATTGTCCGCGTAAACCCTAAATAACATGTCGAGAATCGATTCCTGCAATTTGGAGGAGCAATTCTCACCCAATAATGGAGCAATTTCACGAATCGCCAATTGGAGGCTTCCATCGGCCACAGCGGAGCTCAAAATGCGCTTCGCCTCGGCGAATCTTCTGTCGGCGAACAAGCGCAGGATGATGGCGATGTGAGCTTCGAGATTCGGTTTCTGAGGAACGATGGAGGTGTTCTTCTGCAGGAATTTGAAGAGATGCAAGCAGGTGCGTGTGGGAATCCGTGGGTTGGAGAGAAGGAGGTGCGTAATTTGGGGATTGAGATTGGGGAGAAAAGATGACAGAATTTGGGGAGATTTAGGGTTGATTTTGGTTAGGGTTTTGGCGATTGAATCGGCGATTTGATGTGTGGATTTTGAAGTGACTTCCGCTTTGAAGACTTGCTTGGCGACAGCGTAGAAGTTGTGGTTCGACATGGTTTTGTTTGTTCAGGTAATAACCCTAAGCATATACGTAAGTATATATATATATACGCATATATATACGGTTTATGTTAGAAAGATTTGGGATATGTTTGTTTTACCTAAACCAAAATGAAGACCGGCTTATTTCACCCGATATTAATTTTCAATTTGGATTCCTAAAAAATAATAATGAATAATAAAAAATATATTTTACAAAAATTAAAAATTTAAAAATTTAATTTAAAATAATACTTCACCTGTCCCATATTTATCTATTTATTTTTCAACGGAGTTTTAGAAAATATTAGTATTATATTGGGATTCAGTAGAAATAAAAATAAAAAGACTAAATATGATATGATATAAATACAATGATATTAAAAGAGTATTTATAATGTTACATATATATATAATATAATTACTAAAAATAATTCCTCATATCACATAAAAAAAAATTTAATCCATCTAAAAATGTTGAGTGAACGAAGCCGGTTGGCATTATTTTAATTAAATATAATATTAATTTTTTTTATATAAAACATTATTTAAATTAGAATTTAAATAAAAATTCAAATCCAAATCAAAATTGTTATTTGCTTGTAGGGCTGAGAAATGATATTTAAATTTGGATAAAATTTTAAATTATAATAATTATTTGGTATAATATAATTAGATATTAATATAATTTTAGTCCAATTATCTGTAAATTGGAGTATTTTCATTTAAATTTATGTCAAATAAAATATATTTAAATTCAGTTTTTACAGGTTATTGTAGTCTTTATTTTTGTAAAATATTTACAAATAGTTCTCTACTACTCATTTTGGTTCTAGAAGGACGAGTTTATATAATAAATATATTATATACTCCCACCGAATTTTCGTAAATCTTACATTCTCTATATTTAAGAAGTGGCTCGCGGCTTTTGGGCGAGCAAGCTAAACTTTCTTTGGGTACTTAGGCGCGAGATTTTAAAATATGAAATTTGTTGTAACGGATTAAGGTTAATGATTGAATAACAAACAGAAAACGTAAATAAAATTTAAATTTACGTGGTTCACCAACAACTTCTTGGCTACGTCAACGGACAGGAATGAATAACATATTTCATTTACGACGGCTGGGTTACAAGTTACAGATTTTGTATCATAAGTCTATTTAAATAAATCAAGAGAATAATTCATACGGGTTCAGTCAAATACCAACTCCAAAGCCCAATACTGCATACCATTGGCCGGAGGCCACTCTGCGCCCCCGGACCCAGGCAAGGGGGACTTCGCCTCCCTTGACCCCCAGTGAAGACTTAGCGAAGTGGCAAACTAGATTAAAGGCATATCAACAATGAGATTAATGTCTTTTCTACCGGATACGAGGATGATGTAAAGAATCGAGGATTGATTGTCCCGTGGTTCGATCAAATCACTGCGATGTCCAATCCGGCGGTCGGGGGATTCTTGACACAGTGCGGATGGAACTCTATTTTGGAGAGATAGTTTGGGGTTCCTATGATATGTTATATGGTCCTTTACATCAACCGACTAATCGAAAGCTAGTGGTGGATGATTGGAAGGTCGGGGTCGACCTTTGCCAAGACAAGGCAAAGATCGGCGGGGAAGAAGTGGCGCGGAAGATCAAAATATTGATGAATAGTGAAACCTCGGACCATGTAAAAAATGAGATGAAGAAGCTCACAAGTGTAATGCGGAATGCTTCGGGTGCTGATGGATTCTTTGAACGATAAAATACATTAAAAATGTAGCTATTTTTTATTTATTTATTTATTTATTTAAGTAAAAAATCATCGATCAAATAGTGTGTTTTTACAAGTTTAAATGTGTTTGAATGAAAATTTGAAACTTTTGAAGTATTAAGAGGTAATAATTTAAATAACTTTTTAATCATGTGTGTTTGCAATTTAGGTTGAATTTAATCGTTTTAACATTTATTTAAATAATTAGAATTAATAAGGAAATAATACCCATATAATTTATAAATAAATAAATAATTATGTGGGGAGATCCGAGTAGACTCACCAATGGGATACTTGATTCATTAATCTGTAATATATTTATATTTTTATTTTAGTTTCAAATTTAAATTTATATATATATATAAGCATATATTTAAAAATATTACATCAAATATTATTATTATTAAAATTAAAATTAAAACCAAACAATCCTTTTAAACTCTTGTTTATTTAAAATTTAAAATTTATTTTTTATAAATTTATTTCTAAAAAAATATTAATGGGGTGTTTGTTTTGTGTTTTGATTTAAAAAAATATTTTTTGTGAGAAGTATAGAATAATAAGTATGAGTAGTATATTATTTTTTGTTTAGAAAATGTGTTAGAAAATTTTTGAGTAAGTGAACAAACCAATTCAAAACTTATTTTTTATTAAAAATAATATATCGAAAATATATTTTCCATTAAAAATATCATACTCAACTCTAGTTGAAGTTTGATCTTATATTTGGTTCCAACTGTATTTAATGTAATTTTTACATAAAAAAAAAAAAACGGAAAAATGGTAAAAATTGTAATACAAATTCAATTTTTAAATATTTCAATCTACATCATAAATTTATTTTTAATCAAATATTCATATTGAAAAAAAAAAAAAGAAAAGAAAAGAAAATATTTTTAATCAAATATTCATTTGATCAAACAAAAAATAATATACTACTCATAAATTGTAAAAATTGTAATACAAATTCAATTTTTAAATATTTCAATCTACATCATAAATTTATTTTTAATCAAATATTCATATATGATATCATATTGAAAAAAAAAAAAAGAAAAGAAAATCTAATCACAATCTCATTCCAAACAAAACAAAATTGACATTCCAACCACCTTATTTATCACTAAGTGATAATTTCTGGCCGTCAATCCGGACTGTTTCCCTCTTATTATCCCATCACTTTTCTCCCGACAATCCGAAACTATGGAGGAAGAATACGAGGTTGCACTGAAACCACAGGCTGTGATGATAGCCTTCCCATACCAAGGCCACATAAACCCCTTCGTCCATCTTGCAATCAAGCTTGCCTCCAATGGCTTCTCCATAACCTTCGTCCACACTCAATACATCCACCACTTGATCTCCGAATCCCGGCAAGAACTCGACGACGTCTTCTCCGATGCCCGAGCTTCCGGTCTCGACATTCGCTACGCCACCATTTCCGACGGCTTTCCTCTCGACTACGATCGAAAGGCCAACTTCCCTGAATTCGCACGGTCTCTTTTCGAGGAGTTCCCTTCTCGCGTCGATGAATTTGTCGGGAATATGTTCGAGGAACGGCGCGATCCGTCCACCGTACGAGTTATGGTTGCGGATACCATCGCGACGTGGCCTCGATTTATCGCCGAGAAATATGACATGGTGAATGTATCGTTTTGGACCGGACCGGCTCTCGTCTTCGCCCTTAATTGCTCCATGGATCTCCTCGCTCGAAACGGCCACTTCCCCCCGTCGGGTATTGTATCGATATTTTTAATTATTTAAATTTTTGAAAAAACTTTAAGTGAAAATAGATCGTAAGTTACGTTCTTTTGATTCGAATATAAAAATACATTTCAGATTGAATAGTAAAAAAATTGAAATACTATTATCCCTCGCATCCCTGCCAGGTGATAGTAGGGAGCATTTGATCGATTACATCCCCGGAGTCGATCCTATAAAAGCGAAGGACTTGATAAGTCATCTTCTAGAAGCTCCGACAACGATTGCACACAAGATCCTCTTCAAAGTCTTCGAGGATGTTAAGAAAGCCGACTTCGTCTTACACAACACGGTGCAAGAACTCGAGCCACGTACATTGTCAGCTCTAAGCGAACTAAATCCAACTTACGCCGTAGGGCCAATCGGTTCTTCAACCAAAATAAATGTCTCGACGAGTCTCTTGTCCGAAATAGATTGCACCGTATGGCTTAATTCAAAGCCTCCAGGCTCCGTTTTGTACGTCTCATTCGGAAGCGTCGCCCGGATCCCGGGGCAAGTAATCAAAGAGGTGGCTAAAGGGCTTGATCTAAGCATGGTACATTTCATTTGGGTCATTCGAGAAGGGCTTGTCGCCGGCGAGGCGAAAATTTTTCCGATCGGGTTCGAGGAAAATGTTAAGGAAAGAGGTTTGATCGTGCCGTGGTGCGATCAAACCGCGGTGTTATCACATCCGGCGGTCGGAGGATTTCTGACACACTGTGGATGGAATTCGATACTGGAGAGCATTTGGGCCGGAGTTCCCATGCTTTGTTACCCGGTGACCTATGACCAACCGACTAATCGGAAGTTGGTGGTGGATGATTGGAAGGTCGGGATTAACTTGTGCGATGATGATGTGGCGCCGTTGGATGCGAGACATGTGGCGTCGAAGATCAAGATTCTGATGAATAGGGAAAGAAGCGATGGCGGCCTGAGACACACAATGGAGAGGCTCAGTGACACGGTGCGCTGTACATTGGATGAGGATGGATCTTCTACGAAGAATTTCGACCGGTTTTTGAAGGATTTTAAAGATAAAGTTAGGCGTCGTCGATCTAAAAGTACATTTTGATGTGCTAATAATAGAAAGTATGTAAACTATTGTATCAGCTCAAAGACTTATCTAATGTGAATTCGGAAAAAAAAAATATAATAATAATGTAAAGTAGAAAATGTAGAGCTGTGATTTCAAATAAAATTAATATAATTAATTCTATATGATTTTTAATAAAAATATATTATTATTATTTTTTTGAACTATCATATTAAAATATTATTTAAATAAAAATTTATATCAAATATTTTATTTCAAATCAATTTTAAATTCCAATCAAATAAAACACTATGTATTCTACATTTTCAGTTCAATTTACAATGATAGGATTATGTGTTGCAATTAATATATGTAAAAAGGTAAACTCATTTTTTAGTCCGGTAATCGAATCATTTTATCATTTTAGCCTCGCAATTGAAGCATATCGCAAACTAATTCTGTAAGTGAAAAATATTCGCAATTTTAGTTTTTCGGCACCGGAAATGCCTACGTGGCACCCGCATGGATCGCCGGAGGACACATGGATTTTTATTTTTTTGATTTTTAATTTTCAATTTTTATTTAACATAGCATATACATTAATCTAATAATACATGTTAAATAAAAATATATATTGTCTATTTATGTTTGTAGGGTGCTATTATTGTATTTATTGTGCTGAAATAAATTATAATATATGTTGTATGAGGCTATGTTATATATTGTTTTGTATTGTATTAACATATAATGTACATTGTCTGTCTTTATATCATGCGTTGTCGGTCCCAATAATCTTCTTTTGAATGTTTGTTCAAGAAATAATTTGTTATCGGGCGTGGTAGGAGATCGGGATTGCGTGATCGACTACATCCCCGGGGTTGCGCCGATACACAAAAAGGACTTAATGTCCAATCTTCAAGAATTCAATTCGACATCGATTCTTAACAAGATTTAATTTGCTTAAGACATTCGAGGAAGCTAAGAAGGCCGACATTGTCCTACACAACACGGTCGAAGAACTCGAGTCGTATACACAATCAACCTTGGACGAACTATGCCCCACATACGCCATAGGCCCGATCAACTTCTCCTCTGAGACCACCAAACTCGACATTTCCAAAAGCCTACTTCCCGAAACGGATTGCACTGAATGGTTGAAGTCGAAATGATGAGAGATAATATTATAAAAGTAGTAATTGGTATAAAATTTAATGGACATAATAAAAAAGAAAATAAGAGTAAATTTGGGGGACATAAAAAATACAATATATTGTTCAATATTTTTATTCCTTTAAAATTTTGTTTTAGGTTTTTTTAGTATAAATAATATTATTATTATTATTTTTTATAAAATATCGTATATAAACTATTATTGAACAAAAGAATCCAAATAATAATAAACTATATTTCAAACGAATACACCATTTTATTATTACTTTTTTCTTAAAAAGCAATTGTAATATTATTTCCAAACGCATAGGCAGGTGGTACGGTACACCCCTTAATCAGCTCAAAGTTAATATTCCCTCCCCGTAATAAACTATCTATTTTTTTTTATTTTAGTCTGTCATGTAACAAAATATCTATTTTTTTTAAGTAACTGTATTTACTGTCTACCTAACATTACAAATACCCTTACTATTTACAATATATTATACAAATATCATTACCTTTATATCATACATACTAATAAAGTTATTTTAGTCATTTCTATTTTATTGCTACTACATCATAATATAATACTAATATTTATAAAACTACGTCAAAAAATAAATGAATATTTAATTATGAAACAAAAAAAAGTATAAAATTTGAGAACTTAATTATTCAAAAAAATAGTTTAGGACCTAAAAGTTAAGGGTTGTTTAATTGTAAGTTGAAAGTAGTATTTATAAGTTTGTTTGATTGTAAATTGATTTATAGTGTAATATGTATTTAATTTAAAATAAATTTAAAATATATTTTGAATATTTTTGTAAAAATTATTTTTCAATAAGATATATTTAATATAAATATTATTTTGAATATAATAATTTATATATTATAGGTATCAAACATAATTATACAAAATAAAAAAATAAATAGAAAATTTTAAATGTATATAAATATAATTATTTATCATATCATAAGATATTTACTAGTAATTTCACTTTAAAAAAAATTAGAATAATAATTGAGATTTAAACAATAAAAAAAGGACACGGAAATTAAAAAAAAGTATTTTAATAAAACTCTCTATGGACTTGTTATGCCATTATATTCGGATACAAACATTTAAAGATCATAATATTTTAATATAAAAGTAATTATATTAGTTAATTATAATATAAAATATAAGTATTTTATTTAAAAAGAATATGATTGAGTTAATGAAATGAAAAAATTTTAAATAATTGAACGAGTAAGTAGTTGTAGTATTTTTTGTAAAAATTATATAAAAATTATTTATTATAAATAAAAAGTACGTAGACAAACAAAAAAGAAAAACAAACATAAATACACTAGAACGACATAGTCGTCAAAGAGAAAGACAGAGAATTCAGAAGAGACAACAGTTTCAGTACATAATCATCGTCAATTTCCGGAGCAAGTCGAGCACCGATACATAAACATTCACAGCATCGATCACCCAAACATATTTACGACACAATAAAAAAAAAAATTAGTAAAATGATCGAAGACTAAGCTTCATTCGGACCAAGTGATGTCCATCTGCCCCCAGTCGCTCTCCGGAACCCCTAAAGCTTTCCACACGGCCTTGGACGCATCGACGATGTTGTTAGGACACGGCGGCTGATAGTCGTGATCGTCGTCGCACCCCATCGTGGAGTCGCACTCGTCCACCACCATGGCCGCCACGCTCCGCCCATTACCACTTATAGTTATATTATTGTGGCACCGCCGCCCCCCGCTGTACCATCCGGTCGACAGCGCCACCACCGGAGTGTTGTCGGAGTGGTACTTATTGTCGCATTCCGAGGGCGCCCCGCCGTCCCCGTTCTTCTCGAAACTATTTAGCGTAAGAACCGCGCCGGTGCTTCCGGACACCGGAGGCGAGCACTTGTACGTCGTGTAGAGCTTCCCGTCCTTACAACAATCCGAGTCGTTTTCTGTGTTGCATTGCCCCGGAGGCGGCGTCTTGCCCTTTATTTTCCCGCTCGGCTTGCACGTTTGAAGCCTCGCCTCCGCCGGCGCCCCGGCGGCGATGATGAGGATAAGGAGAAGAGATGCTTTAGCAATGTTGTCCATGATAATATAATTTTAATATATATGTATGTATATATATTTTTTCTTCTCAAATTGGTATAAAATGTTAGCATAGGATTTCATGTTTATATAGAGTTTTATAGTGTAAATATCCAATAAAGTGCTCAAACTCATTTGGATAATGTAAAAGGAGTAATAGTTTTCAAGTCAATCCAAATTAGGGTTCCAAAGTGTTGTTTGTTCTTTCAAACTATGCTGCTACGTGCTTCGAATTTTATTATTATTATGATTAATTTATATATATATATATATGTTTTTCATTTTTTTAAAGATATTTAATTATATATATATATATATATCATAAATTGTCACATTGGTGGTTGGAGCGTTGTTGCTATAGTTTTGTTTTCTTGAGAATGTGAACTGCAACGTGCCATGCCTGCCTAATTCCAAACAAAAGCTTTGTTTATAAGTTCTCTAAGTTTTAGAATTTAGAATTTAGAATTTAGGATTTTTTTTTTTTTTTAATGGTAAAAATTGGGTTTGTGACTTGTGAGACAAAGTAAATAAATGCATAAATAAAATGAAACAAAATCGTTGATTAGTATCTAAGAAGTGTTTAATTATAGAGCAGTGCCTTTGGGTTTGAATTAAAAAAAAAAAAGTTATTCTGAATTTTGAATTTAAATAATATTTAATTATTATTATTTTTTTTTTTTTCTGTAAAATATGGAGTCTAAGTTTTAAAACTGAAAATTATAACGTAGAAATACATGATGAATACTTTTTTTTTTGAAAAGAAGTTCATGTTACAAGATAGATAATAAATAACAATTAATAGTTTCAATGAAGTTGAAATTTGTAGATAAATATTAGTGCATTTAATTTAATATATATTTTTAATTTTGTATTTAATATAAACTTTTATAAAATAAAATAATATATTCTTAAAAAATCATAGTAAAAATAATTCTTAAATGAATAGACCCAATATATATATATATATATATATATATACTGGTGCTCGTTCGCGGTAGCCTCGTTTGAGCAATTTCTAATATAAGAATTTTGATATGCATTATATAAAATATAGTATAATGTGTAACACCTCCATTGGCTTGGACTGAAAAGCTACCGCCACACTGCATCAGGAGGTCGTTACCTCTTACATCGGGGTCTCATAATACAATATTAAGGCTAAAATTAACCATAAAAGTGCATTATATATAACAAAATTTGATTTATGAATATGTACAAAACATACTCCTACACAAGAAGTTTTTCCGGTTAAAAATTTACATCTAATACAATGGATGTAAGTTCACTCAATCAGGCCATCTTTCTATATCTCGAGATGTCCCTGTCCCGGAGGTGCCAAACATACCTGAACTAAATATTTTTCTTAGAAGCAGTTTAGAATTAAATCCATTTTAATAACTAACGTGAAATATGTCATATCATACATTTTAAAATAAAGTCTAGCTCCGTCAATCATAAAATACATGTCATGTCATGCTAATAGTGAAATGATGCAACAAATATCAAACTCGACAACAATGCACATGCACATATATATACATCCGTCGAAGTGAACAACCGGAATAATCTCGACCCCATAATAACAGGTTCACTAGACCATCATCAATAAATAGCCAAAAAATATTCGACTCAAGGAAGGACCTGATAAACCCATAATAATATAACGGTCATCCAGTCACTTCCATATACCCACCATACGACTCCCACAATCAATATATGGATAGCCGAACGTTGTCGCCATTAACTACAAGACGCCCCATAGTCTGTGATAGCGAAGATAGGACCCCCACTGACTAGCCCTATCCTGTGTAACATAGTAGAATCTGTGCAACCTGGAATCACCCAAGGAAAACCCGGAAACTCTACTCTTCATCGCGCGCCCTAACGGGATCACGTCTGGAGTTTGGCATACGATCCTAAACTACCGATAGACCTCACCGGTGATCAGTCCAATGAGTGGAACAACACTTAACACGAATGATTAGACTAAATACGTCTCAACTACAATGGGTATAATCCCTGAATGACCGTACGACTAAGTCACCCAACTGTCCGACTACTATCGTCCACTATCGCCTAAGTGTTACGGTACATCGTGGTCGAATATCCTAACCCCAGATGATGCCCTCGCCTAGCACTACCGCACATGGCGACTAAACGATAGATTCATAAAACATAACCGATAAACCGCGCAATATGTGTGCATCATGTCAAATAAGTGAATTTATCGAAAAGGGCTTGTGAGACAACTCACCTATCCTTATTTTCATAAATTCATCAACGCGATCAAATACGTATATAAAAAATATCATAAAATGCGAAATTTCACACATGCATATGCCCACATATATACAGATATATACATGCATGACAAAATGATTCTTATAATATCACATTAGCATATTAATCAGAATCACATGTAACATGCATACCTAATTTCTTAAAATTAGATTTAATTCTCTACTGCGTACACACTCTCTGACTTTAGCAATTTCACTCAAATCTCCTCCAACGTATATATGCACTATTATTAACTCAAATCAGATGAGCTATATGTTTATTCATAGGAGCTACCTGCTTATTCAAAAAACTGATTTTTATAATTTGCTCCATGGGCTTTAAATTTTTATATTTAGTAAAATACGATATTCTAGCTATAAAACTCTTATGCCTCATAATATTTATATTACCCGATTATTAAATAAAAAAATACTTAAAAATATGAATAAACAGGCGGGTACAATAAACTACCATTTTCAATTCGGCTCGGATCGATATGAAATTCTCAAAATATAACGTTAGGACTACGAATAGACTATTAGCTAGAGAAATTTATCGATTAAATAGCCAAATAGCCAATTATAAAATTTTGAATATTCCAATATGTAAATTTATATTAAAATTCATAATTAAACTCTACATTTAGTAAAGAATACAATACTAAAATCGAACAGCTAATTTCCTTTTTTTTTTTTTTTTTCTTTCTAAGGTTTGTTTGATTTATATATATAATTATATTATTATTATTAACGTTGTTATTATTATTATTATAAACATTATCTTCAAATCATAACATTTAATATTATTATTATATATTTATTATATTATATTTTATATTTATCTTCATCGATATTATATGTTTAACGATCTTTTCAATCATAATTAACATATAAAGTAGAAATAAAATTTATTCATAAATATAAATTTCTTGATCCTAAATATTATAAAAATATTTATTTACTATAATAATATTATTTTATACACTCCGAAATCGAGACATTACATAATTCATTAAAATTATATGAATATTTTTATTAAGAATGTATATATATAATTTGCTACCAAACATTTTTATCTATCAATATTTTCAAAAATACTGGAAAGTGGATGAATGGCAACTTCATAATCATAGAGTGCGAAGAGTTCCATGTCTTATAAAATTCATTTAGAGCAATGTTTTCGCCCAACAACATAATATTGCATATTTTATGTCGGTGTGGAATCTTCTTAAAGCAATGCTGCTGATGTTTTGAAAAAATACCATTTCTTGCTAAAGTTCTGAAAGAAATTTCATTTTTTCTTGCAAAGCATTCAAAAACTGTTACAAACTAAGCAGTACTTACATTGGACAATAAGGTGAGGTTATCTGGTTGTGTCGGGATTGGATTTGTAATTGTGAGGTCATGGATTCAAACTTTCGACGCTTCAGTTCACATGCCACACATAGTTTGTCTAGTTTGACTTGCATGAATGTTTGGATAATCACAAAACATAGAAACATAACATTTGTCTTTTTTATAGTTCTATAACAATTTAAGTTCAATCAACAACAGCTAAGTTATACGCACCAATAACCGGCTATTTAAACAAGTACCGAAACATAAAAGCCCCTCCAAGTAACCTTAAAAAGTCTAAGTGAAATCAAACTTACGAAACAACACATACCTTTTGTTGGGACTGGGCCAAGTCAACACTAGTATGATATTGTCCGCTTTAGGCTGAGCCTGCACGGATTTATTTTTGGATATTCTCCAAAATGCCTCATACTAGTGGAGTTCACTTGGGACTTATAAGGTGTGTAATTTTCTTCACAACTTCCAATGTGAGACTTACATCGCCATGAGACTTTCGACACAAGGCTCATCCGCAGGTCACGAGGGCGAGCCCACCACCACAACCAATGTCTAATGCCACCCAGTCCACTTCACCATCTAACCGGTCTCTGATACCACTGTTGGGACTGGTCCAACTCAATACTATTATGATATTGTTCGCTTTGGGCTGAGCCCGTACGGATTTGTTTTTGGATATTTTTCAAAATGCCTCGTACTAGTGGAGTTCACTCGGGACAGATAAGGTGTGTAATTTTCTTCACAACTTCCAATGTGAGACTTGGGTTTGCACCCAAAATATTTACCAACAATTTCTTCGACCACATCTTCAAGGGTCACTATATGTTCCAACAATTAAAAAGGACAATTCATCTTCCAAGTCTTTTAATGTATTTTTTGAGTAGATATTTTTTTCTTATATGTGTGTATCATTAGAATAACTGGTTGTTTGTATGAGTGAAAGGAGCTTACACCAACAGTTCCTCCATATTTTACTATGCATAAAAGTAGTTACACATTGAAGACATCACATAATCAAATGCCTTATACTACATTCTAGTTGCATTCTTTCTACTTATGAATGTATAATGTGGCAATGTAAAATAATTAACACAGTGATTTAATTGGAATGCATAAATTACCTTACGAAGAGTTTAAATTTCAAGATCAAATCATCGATGATGCTAGTCACTGAAGGACAAAATGCAAAAAGAATAATCTTTTTATCATCAATTTTATCACTGTCTCTTTAAAATCCACACGAGAAAAAATTAAAATAAACTAGCCGTGGGGAAGAGAAAGATCGAAAAATGGATCATTTTTTATTAGAATCGTCAATAACTTGTTGGAATACGTTTTTTTTTTTAATCGGCACTTTCTCTTTTTTAAAAAAAAAATTAAGAAAAAATATTAACCTGATCGAGGACACTAAGGGTGCATTTGTTTGGGGGTTTGGATTTTGAGTTGGAATTTGAATAATAAAAATTTTAAATTTGAATAGTTGTATGATGTGATATAAATAGGTGTTGATGTGATATTTTGAATGTAAAATTGATTTTTAGTATAATATAAAAATGAAAAATAGGCGTTTGAATTGATATTTTTTACGGGAAAAAAATGGGATGAATAGTGGAAATCTAATCCAATCCCCCAAACAAACACACCCTAAGTAGTCACTAGGGCAGAGAAACAACACAACAACACGAGGTAAGTGAAGTCGTGAAGAAGAAAAGGAAAGAAGAGAATGAGAGAACAAAAGAAATAAAGAATGGGGAAGAAGCCCCGCGTAAGCTGCTGCTGTAGATGTGTGATGTTTTGATTAGAGTAATAATTTTGAATAAAGTAAAAGTAATACTCCCTCCGTCGCAGAAAAAGTGACTTATTGGAAGTTAACACGGGAATTAAAGAATAATAGTATTTAATTGAAAGTTGGTATTGTTAAGCACAAAAAATAATAATAATAAATAATGGCAGTGGGATTCTGGACGGGTCTGGATATAAGTTAAATGACCCAGAAGTAGGGTGCAATCGGACAGATGCAAGGATCGGGAAGGAAGAAAGGTCGGGCGGAGTCTGAAAAAAGGTGTACCCAAGTCGGGTAAACCGTAGATCGGGTGAAAGACGAAGTCGGACAGACGCGAAGGTTTGTCAAGAGAAAGGTCGGGCAAGGAAGAGGTACGGACAGATGCGGAGGTCTGTCCAGAGGACAGTCTGTCCTTCTAAAGAGATAAGGCAAATAGAGCCGGTCGGTTGGTCCGTGGTCGGGACCACATTTGGTTGGTCCATGGTCGGACCAATTAAAGTCGGTCAAAGACGGAGGGCGGCTGATGCGGAGGTCGGCCCAAATGATGTCGGGCGAAGAAGCAGGTCGGGCATTGAGGTCAGGACGTGATACGAAGTTCGGACCAAGTGAAGTAGCATGTGCAGGTCGGGTGAGAGAGCAGTTCTGGGGCGGTTAGAGGAAGTTGCAACTGACGAACGGTTTTTTGAAGGTCGGACGTAGTAGAACGGTTGACACACGTGTCAATAGAAGAGAACTTTTGGGGCGGTTAACAACGGTTATGGTAACTGACCAGACGACGGTTCTGAACGTTTTCTTCAAAGAATATTTAAGGATTTGGATCATCATTTGGCAAGGCATCTTCAATCAACTTCAACAAAGCAAAGTCAGATTTGGGGATCACCACTTTAAATTTCAGTCTTTTATTTTCCAGTTTATTTTCTGTAGCATACAGTGTTTAGAGATTCCTAATCTCAGGCACTAATTAATCAAGTTTAAGGATATTTTCTATATCTTTGAATTTTACTTTATTTTTGTTGAAAAATATGTTCAACAGGTATAAAATAGAATATAAAAGACTAAAATGTCCATACTTTTTGAAGGATTTTAAAAAGTAAGTTAGAGTAATAATTATGGGTAGTTTGGAAAAGTATAAATAATTTTGTTATAAAGTGAGGACCACGGTTACTAAATAAGAAAACAGGACAATTGTTTTGGGACAGACAAAAATGGAAAAACAAGACAACTCTTTTGGACGGAAGGAGTACTATATTTTATAATATATAATTATATTTTTATATATTTTTTATATTAGTTATTTTGAAAAGCTGTGCAATTAATCAATTCAAATTTTTTTTTCTTTTTTATTAAGAAAATGTAGTACTTCCTCCGTATTTTAAGAGGGGTGTAATTAGTAGATAATTAAAAATATATTAGTGAAAATAATTATCCTATAATATAAATAATTATAAATTAAGATTAAGATAACTAATTAGTTTAATTAAAATTAAAAAAAAAAAATTTAAAATTTAAAATAAGATTAAAGTGTGTAATCATTTTCCAAAGTGACATGGTACGTGAGACAGACAGAAACAGTAACGTGGACATACTATCTGGAAAGGAGGGAGTACTTTTTATTGTCAATATTTTCGGAATTTGAAAGTGTTATTAAAAAAAAAAAAAAAAAAAAAAAAATAATAATAATAATCTACAAAATAGTAGGCATATTAATATATATTTTTTATATTTGTAATTATTATTCTCTAATTTTCAAGCTCGATGAAGAATGGCAGCCAACCTGGAGGATCAACCCATCCGACCACAAAGAAGTCCCTCCAACCGGCAGCGTCCAAGATGGGTTGACGTGTTCAAGTGAGATTATGGAGGAGTGAAAGAGAACGTAAAAACCTTATCTAAAGTTAGTTGGGGATTGGAGGAAGTTAATGAGTAATGAAGAAGTAGGAAGAGAAAGACAGAGAATTTGGAAGAGACAACAATTTCAGTACACAATCATAGTCAATATCCATAGCAAGCCGAGCACCGATACATAAACATTCACAACATCGACCACCCAAACATATTTACGACACAAAATCAAAGAAAAAAAATTGTAAAATAATCGAAAATAATTAGTAAAATGATCGAAGACTAAGCTTCATTCGGACCAAGTGATGTCCATCTGCCCCCAGTCGCTCTCCGGAACCCCTAAAGCTTTCCACACGGCCTTGGACGCATCGACAATGTTGTTAGGACACGGAGGCTGATAGTCGTGATCGTCGTCGCACCCCATCGTGGAGTCGCACTCGTCCACCACCATGGCTGCCACGCTCCGCCCATTACCACTTATAGTTATATTATTGTGGCACCGCCGCCCCCCACTGTACCATCCGGTCGACAGCGCCACCACCGGAGTGTTGTCCGAGTGGTACTTATTGTCGCATTCCGAGGGCGCCCCGCCGTCCCCGTTCTTCTCGAAACTATTTAGCGTAAGAACCGCGCCGGTGCTTCCGGACACCGGAGGCGAGCACTTGTACGTCATGTAGAGCTTCCCGTCCTTACAACAATCCGAGTCGTTTTCTGTGTTGCATTGCCCCGGAGGCGGCGTCTTGCCCTTTATTTTCCCGCTCGGCTTGCACGTTTGAAGCCTCGCCACCGCCGGCGCCGCCGCGGCGACGGCGGCGGCGAAGATGAGGATAAGGAGAAGAGATGCTTTAGCAATGTTGTCCATGATAATATAATTTTGATATATATATATATATTTTTTCTTCTCAAATTGGTACGAAATGTTGACATAGAGTTTCATGTATATATAGGGTTTTGTAGTGTAAAGATCCAATAAAGTGCTCAAACCAATTTGGATAATGTAATAGTAGTTTTCAAGTCAATCCAGATTAGGTGCCATAGTGCAGTATATGTGTTGTTTGTTCTTTCATTATTATTATTATTATTATTATTATTATTATTATATATTTTTTCATTTTTTTAAAGATATATTTTATTTTTATTTTAATTAAATATATATATATATATATATATATAATAAATTGTCACATTGGTGGTTGGAGCATTGTTGCTATAGTTTTGTTTTTCTTGAGAAGGTGGGACAAGAAAAAAAGAAAAAAAGAAAGAAATCGTTGATTAGTATATAAGAAGTATTTAATTAATTATGTAAATAGAGCTGTGCCTTTGGGTTTGAATTTTAAACAAAATTATTCTGAATTTTGAATCTAAATAGTATTTAGTTATATATATTTGTAAAATATGGACTCTAAATGATAGAAAATGGTAAAGTAAAATTGAAAAATATGATGTAGAAAAACATGATGAATATATATATATATATATATATATTTTTAAGAAAAAACATATTTTACAAGATAAGTAATAAATAAATAATACTCTCTCCGTTCCACATACCATGTCCACATTGCCGTTTATGTCCGTTCCACGTACCATGTCATTTTCATTTTTTGGAAAATAATTATACACTTTAATCTCATTTTAAACTTTTTAATTTTATTTTTTTAAAATTTGATTAAACTAATTAGTTATCTTAATTTTAATTAATAATTATTTATATTTATAAAATAATTATTTTCACTAATACATTTTTAATTATCTACTAATTACACCTTTTTAAAATACCGTGTATACAGTGTAGCAAACACGTTATGTGGGACGGAGGTAGTAATTAATGGTTTCAATGAAATTAAAATTTGTAGATAAATATTAGTGTGTTTAATTAAATATATATTTGCAATTTTTTTTAATATAATATTTTATAAGATAAAATAACATATTTTAAAAAAATCATCGTAAAAAAAATTGTTAAACGAATAGACCCAGTATATATATATATATATATTAGTACTCGTTCGCGTATAGCCACTTGAACAATTTTAATGTAGCTAATTTTGTTATGTATTATTAGGAATATAGTAGAATTCATTAAAATTATATAGATATACATTTTTAGAATGCATATATATAATTTTTTATCATATATTTTTATCTATTAATATTTTCAAAAATAATAAAAAGTCGATGAATGGCAACATCATATTCGTAGAGTGTCACGAATTCCATGTGCTATAAAATTCGTAGAGCAATGTTTTGCTGATGTTTGAAAAAAAGGGTAAACTGTTTTTTTAGTTTCGTAACTGGATCTTTTTATCATTTTAGTTCCGTAAGTGGAGTCTGTCGCAAACTAGTCCCATAAGTGAAAACTTTTTGTTGTTTTAGTCCTCCGATGCCGAAGACGCCCGCGTAGCTCGCCGGAGGTGACGTGTCCGCCAGGTTAGCGACATCTGGCGGACACGTGGATTTTTTTATTTTTTTTTCATTTTTTAAAACTTATTTTTAATTTATTTTTAATTTTATTTGCATTTTTTTATTTTTTTTATTTGATCCTATTAAAAAAAAATTGAAAAATTTTTAAAAAATAAAAAATAAAAATACACGTGTCAGCCAGGTGTCGCTGACCTGGCGAGACACCTGGCGGACACGTCACCTCCGGCGAGCCATGCGGGCGTCTCCGACGCCGGAGAACTAAAATAGCGAAAAATTTTCACTTATGGGACTAGTTTGCGACAGACTCCACTTATGGGACTAAAATGATAAGGTTTCAGTTACGGGACTAAAAAGACAGTTTACCTTGAAAAAATAACATTCCTAGCTAATGTTTTGAAAGAAATTTCATTTTTCTTGCAAAGCATTCAAAATTTCTCTCATTTTTATTAAGAAAATTTTAGTATTTTTTATTGTCAATATTTTTGGAATTTGAAAGTTTTGTAATATAAAGAAATTTTATTTTATTTTCACAAAATATTATATATTTGATATATTTTTTATATTTGTAATTTGATTTATATCGAAAGTATTTGAATATAAAATAATAATAATATGTATAAGGCATAAAATGGGTGGTTTAGGGAACAATATAATCACATATGTTATGTTATTTTGTGAATTTTATTATAAGTTTTTACTATTTAAATTCTTTTTTTTCTTTAAAAAATATCACATCAAGTAATTATTTTTTCTTTTTTACTCCTTTCGTCCAAGATACCGTGTCTACAGTGTACTACACTGTAGACACGGTATTTTAGGATGGATGTAATTACTAGATAATTAAGAATGTATTAGTGAAAATAATTATCCTATAATATAAATAATTATAAATTAAGATTAAGATAACTAATTAGTTTAATTAAAATTAAAAAAATAAAATTAAAAAATTTAAAATGAGATTAAAGTGTCTAATCATTTTCCAAATAAAGAAAGTGACATAGTACGTGGGACGGACAGAAACGGCAACGTGGACACGAAGGGAGTATATTATACTACAAATTTATTTTACATTCAAAACATCACATCAACTTCTATTTATATCACATCAAATAACTATTCAAAAATCCAAATCCAAAACTTAAAACTCACAAACAAACACACCCATATTGTTTTAATCCAAATTCATGGGATAATAGCGAACTACTTCCCAGCTTCGATGAAAACACCAAATTTTATAATTTCTTAATAGACATGTAAGCAACGTATTAAAGTATCTGTTACAATTAAATTTTCTATTATCTTTCTCATTACGTTGTCAAACTTTATTATAACAAGGTGTATTACCTCTGTTAGGAAATACAATTCATTACCTCTATAAAAATAATAAATAAATTATATTTTAATTAATTATAATTTTAAATTTATTTACAAATAGAAATTCAAATTTATTTCAAAAAATTAAACCTCACATGTATAGTTTTCAATCAATTTTTTTATATATCCAATTTTAACATTTAAAATTTTTATATTCAATCTATTTTCAATTAGTTCTTTAATAAAACTATTGGAAACTAAAAATTATCCCAGCAATATATTAATTCAAATTTATTTCAATCATTCAAATTTTTAAATATAGCTAATTTTATAAATTCGAATAATTTTAATATTTCATATATAAAAATTATATAATATTATTATATTTTATATAAATTAATATTTTAAAAATATAATATAATATTATATAATAAATATTATTTATATAGTATTATTAAACAACTGCGGGCACGTCGGTCATCTTCTCCGGGCAGTGCCGGCTTGAGCATGGCCACCTGGGCCACGCCTACGGCCCAAATATTTTGGGCCCTTTCGTAAAATAATAATATATATAAAATAAATGTTATAAATATATAAGTATATAATATTAAAATATTTATTTTAAATTTGAAATTTCCTTAAATATATTTTGGTACTTTCTCCGCCTACAAATCAAATGGATTTTTTGGAGTTTTATAATAGATTAAGATATAATACTCATTTCGTGTCATTTCAAAAGAGCCCTTTGGGATTTTATAGTAGATTAAAAAATAATAGTATTTTATAAGTGTGTAAGAGATTTTGACATTTTTGTGGTAAAGAAATTGTATGTGTAAGTATGTTTTAGAAAGAAATATGTGTAATTGTATTAGTGTATAATTACTTTTACTAAAATAAGAAATGAATACATTTGAGTGGGACGAACAGAAATGATAAAAATGATACTTTGAGTTTGGACTGAATGAGTAATATTTTATTAGTCAGGGGAAATGTGCATGAATTTTTGATATTTTTGTCTTTTAATTTTATATATAAAGTCATTGTATGTGTAACAATATGTTTGTAATTTAAGTAAAAGGTAAAAAAACTTTTGATATTAATGTATAATTACTTTATCTTAAAATAGAAAATTGATACTTTGAAATTAGACGTACGAAAATGGTAAAAATTATACTTTAAATGGGGACAGAATGAGCATAATATTTTATTAAAAAATATTATTCCCTTTGTCTCATATCTATATATCCATTTATTTTTTGTACGGAGTTTTAGATATACTAGTATTAGATTGAGATAAAGTATAAATAATGGTAAAAAGACTAAATTAACCCATTTAGTATTGTCTTATATAAAAGTAATGACATTTGTGTAATATATTGTAAATTGGAAGGGTATTTGTAATAAATCCACGTGTCCGCCAAGTGTCGCTGACCTGGCGGGACACCTGACAGACACGTCACCTCCGGCGAGCCACGCGGGCGTCTCCGGCGCCGGAGGACTAAAACAACGAAAAATTTCTACTTATGGGACTAGTTTGTGACATGCTCCACTTATGGGACTAAAATGATAAGGGGGTCTAGTTACGGGACAAAAAAAAATTTACCTAAAAGAAAATTGATATTTTGTTATGAGATGGATCAAAATAAAAAAATAGATAGATTGTTAAAGCGTCAGAGAGAAAGTATATTTTATTTGTAATGGAAGCAAACAAGCCTAAAAAATATTTAAAAATAATTATTTTCTTATTATTTATATATAAATTAATAAAATAAGGGCCCATTTTTTTATTTTTGCTCATGCTCATCAAAACCCAAAAACGGCCTATCTCCGGTGAACTAGCGGCTGCTCGGGCTACGTCCATCTACACCGGAATAGCTGCAGGCACGTCGGTCGTCTTCTCCGGTGAGTCAGCGGCCGCTCCGGCCTTCATCTCCGGCAGCAATTGGCGACCACGAACGGCAAAAACAAACAACGGAACAAGAATATTTGAGACAAGACTAATTTTATTATTATGCGATACATACAATTAAAAGCTTCTATTTAAAATATTTGTTTGGACACGCAAGCTGCATGCCATTTTATGATGCTTTATTTTATACGGTCCATTGCATATGTTCTTACGAA